GAGAGAGACAGCGAGAGAGGGAACACAAGCAGGGGGAGTGGGAGAGGGAGAAGCAGGCTTCCCGCGGAGCAAGGAGCCCGATATGGGACTCTATCCCAGGACCCTGGGATCATGACCTGAGCCGAAGGCAGATGCTTAACGACTGAGCCACCCAGGCGCCCTCAGCCGGGATTTCTGACGAAAGTCTTTTGCATTAACGCGGCAGGTTTTGTAAAGACCGCGCATCACTAAGTGTTTGGATCGCTGCTCTAGTGTTTCTGGAACAAGCAGGAGGAGGTGGTAGGCAGGGGTCCTTGGAGCCTAGAAATTACCCAGACCCAGAACTCGTAAAAACCCCCTCCAGATGGCCCTGCTGAGGGCCAGGGCCCCACCTGCTCGCCCCGCCCGGCCGTGACTGAGAGCTGGGGCTGAGGCTGGCCGTCCACTGTCTGAGCATTTTTGGTGACCAGGTGTGTGGGCAATTCTTGCTTTTCTTCATTTAAGTGGTCACATAGTAAACCTGTGACCTTGTTTTAAAGACCAGGACAGGAAAGTAGATAATTTGCTTTAGTTAGAAGAAGCCAGAATCCTATCAGGCGCCTTTGCTAGTCACCTGTGTTTAAGCTTGTGAACCACATCTGCTTAGAAGATGCGCGGGCCCGCATCCGTTCTCTGCACATGCGCTCTACTGCCCCGGCCTACAGAGGCGCAGCCGGCCCCCTGTGTCACTGGGATCCGGGTGGGGAGGGGCGAGCGCCCCGGGGGAGGACAAGACTGCCTGAACTACGCCCTGCAGAGGAGGCCTCAGAGCCACGTGTCCCTGGATCCTGCGGCTGCCACTGGCCCGTTGTGCACCGTGTAGGTTCTGCGTCTCCGTCCAGAAGGTGACGGAGGGGTCCTCGCAGGTTCCCACGCCTTCCTGCTCTCGGACCGCAGGACTGAGGACCGCCGCACGGGGGGTACGCACCAGCCGGCGTCCCGGCTCCCGCCTGCCGGGCTTCTCTGCAGCTCTTCTCGCAGCAAGAGCAAGACCTTTGGGAACATTTCCTCACCCCAGAAGTGTAGCTGATGCCCAGTCCGGACATCCTGGTGAGGGTTGCCTGGGAGAGTTTCCGCAGTGCAGAGTGGCGGAGCGGGGTCCACTCGCGGGCCGTCTGCAGAGAGGAGGCCGCCCCAGGTTTTCCTGACGCCTGAGCGGCGCGAGGTCCGGCTCACTGCCCAGGCCCGGTTCTGCTCAATCAGGAAAAGGGCAGTGAATGGGGACTGCTGAAAGGCTTTATATAAAACATCTCAATAATTCATCCTTTCATCTGACAACTGTTTAGGAAGCACCTCCTGCTTACACTTTCTGAATGTCTGTAGCTCTCTGTGCGCACAGGCGGGTGCAGGATCCCCAGTGCTGGGGTCACTGCGGCTCGGGCAAGGCCATCACCACTGCTGGGGGCGCCTAATTATTCCTCCTGCAGAAACGTGCGCTCGGGGCCTGCTGAGCACAACGCTCTGCGGGGGTATGAGGTCTGTTAGACTACCTGGGAATAGGGTTGTAGAGAAAGTATATTCCTTCCCCGTTCCTCCAAGGAAAATCTAAAATCCCAGTGCTCACAAAATTAGCAAGTCAAAACATAAGATCCCTTGTATTTTTCTCTATGCTATAAACCCCTACCACAGATTATCTTTTTCTCAGAGGGAATCCTGTCATGTTATCATAAACTAGCAGTGTTCTATTCACTTTATAATATGAAGGTAGCAAACCTGAAAAATGCAAAGTATTGTGAACCGAAGATCTTGGATAACCCACAGACACAGGCCAGGGAATTAATGCCAATCTAATCTTAACACCATAGAAAATATTATAGACTAATCTGGGCTGAATGCCAGGCTTCCCCAAATATTTCTCTTTCTCTGCCTCGCTTCCTTGGTGACCTGACTCTCGGGCTCTTCAGCAACACTGCCCAGTAGAAAAATAATGCAAACCATATACGTAACTTAAAATTTCCTAGTACCTCATTAAAAATAGCAAAAAGCAACCAATGAAATTGATTTTATATTATTTAACCCAATGTATCCAAAATAGTGCAACTTGAAATAAATATTTAAAATGTGGAAAGTTTTGCATTTCTAGAGCCAGAGCTTTTGAAATCTGGTGTTTACGCTGTGCAGATAGCATGAGGACAGGCCGTGGGCACGTTTATTTCTAGGCTCCGAGGACCCTTGCCCACCACCTCCTCCTGCCTGGGCCAGGAGCGCTACAGCGGAGACCCAGACACTTGGTGGTGTGCTGTCTTTACAAACACTGTCTTGTTAACACAATGTATACTATTGCCAGAAATCACGGCTGGAGGAGGCATGCCCTGGTCAGTCCGGTTTTCCTCGGGCAGACTCATCTGACGATGTCCGTGTCCAGAGAGGCAGCCCGGGTCTCACGTCTGCTCCGGGTGGTCATAGCCCCGATAATCCAGGGAGACGTGATGGAGGCTCGAGTGTTGTTTTGGGACTTTTAATCTGAGAATTGTTTATATTGTGCTCCATCATTTAACAGGTAAATTAGTCATATGGTATTTTGATGGGATAGCTGGTCAAAACCATATGCTTTAGGAAATGATTCAAGTCTGTGGGTGTTGAATGTATTTAAAGATTTGACCAAGTGTGGTTTTCTAGGATAAGCCTGGAATCCAAAATCAGTTGCTAACTATCTTTTGAAGCATGCTTGGCAAATAGGTGGTAATGTGTGTGCCAACTCCAGTGGGTACGGGCCATCTGGCCACTGTCGAGAAGGGTCCGGGTGCTGGAGAGAGATCCGCAGTGGGTGCGCTGTGGGGAGGGGTGGTCAGGGAAGCCCGAGTCCCATTTATGTGTTGTCCTTGCTCACAGATTTATTGCTGAAAGCAATAGAAAATAAGTACTTTCTTTTAAGAGTATCTTCATTTTTATTAAGAAATATATTTTAAAAGAACAAGAAAGGAAAATGTATGGTATTATATAGCTAATTTTTTTTTAATTTAAATTTTAGCATGCTCCAAAAATTGGGAATAAAGCCATCTATCAATTACTACCAGGTAAGTCTTGCTTTCAGCTTCGTAACCGAATGCATGTCTGCCACCTGAGGACACCTAGCATCCCGCCCACGGTAGAGTGTCTGCAGCCTGAGCACCGCACTTGGGTTTTAAAGTGACTCGAACAAGCCCTCTTCTATTTGACTATTATGTTTCCAAATAGGCTTATTTATATCTTGTTTCCCAGTGCACATTGTGATCTGAAAGCTGTGTAAACCTTGAAGCCGAGGTTCACGGTCCCTCGGTGAAAAGCGTGTTCCAGGCTCGCACAGGGCAGGGGAGTAAGTGGTTTGAAAAGCACATTCCAGGGCACCTGGGTGGCTCATTTGGTTAAGCGACTTCCTTCGGCTCAGGTCATAATCCTGGAGTCCCGGGATCGAGTCCCGCATCGGGCTCCCTGCTCAGCTGGGAGTCTGCTTCTCCCTCTGACCCTCCCCCGTCTCATGCTCTCTCTCTATCTCATTCTCTCTCTCAAATAAATAAATAAAATCTTTAAAAAAAAAAAAAAGAAAAGCACATTCCATTTTATAGTATTTTGTTTGCGGAAGACACATAAGATTTTTTTTGTTTTCATGATAAAACTACAGAAATTTAAACAGACCAGATCTTACTGTCTGTTAAGCATATGCAAAAGATAACTGTTTTCCACCCAGGATAGCCTGTTTTCATAAAGGGAGTCTTACTGGCTCACGGCCTGGCGGGTTCCTTTACTGTCCCCCATGGTCACCCTCCGTGGGCAGGTGTCCCACGGAGAGACACTGAGTGACCCTCGGAGCCTGAAGTACTTCCCCTGGTCCTTCGCACAGTAAGCTTGCTGACTCTTGTGTTAGGGAACTGATGTGTTCTCTACATAAACTGATTTAATCTCCTGGGATTAAAAAAAGATTAAAGTTACTGATTTTAGCAATCCCTGGTTTCCAGGCTCCTGGCTGCACACCGAGCTGTCATTTAGGTCTCCTGACTGTGAAATCAGTCGGCATTTCTGCTGCGCTCTAGGACATCTGTGCTCCACCCTGTAGCCGGTTTCCGCTTGATCTTGATCTTGATTGGATCTTGATCTTCCGCTTGAGGTCCCGCCTGCAGCGAGAGTGGGGCTGGGAGGGAACAGTGACCCTGGGGAGACAGTGTCAGCTGCCCCAGGAGAGAGAGGGTTTGCAGGGCCCCCTAGGTCCTCAGGGTTCATGTTCAAGCAGGTAGGGGGACTGTGTTTACATTTTTGCCCAGAATGTGTCTATTAGAGAACAGATTTCAATGACAGTAAAAGCACCAAGGACAACTAATGTCTTGAGCTCCCTGTCTGTGCCGCAGGCACTTTGTTAGGTTCGGAAGCAGCAAGATGTGAGCTCAGACAGGAGTCCTGGCCCGTGAAAGGTGGTCTGATCTATTGCACGCAGCACCTACGTTCTGGGTGTGGACAGAAGCTCAGGGCAGGGGGGAGAGTGGAGACTGTGGAGCACATGTGGGGGCCACTGTGGTCTGAGGGTGGAGCCCAGGTGGCTGACGGCCTGTCCCCAGGGTCTCGTCTTCGAGCCCGGAGTGCCAGGAGGACTGTGCCCTGTGGTCTGCTGTGCGTGTTTGTGAGCGCGGAAGCCGGAGTGTCCCGTGTGCATGGGGTGGACCTCTTACACCGCCTCTGCCCGAGTATTTCTAATGCATTTTATCTCATTTCAGATTTCAGATATTAAAGACGCCCTTGCCAGCATATACGGAGTCGTACCTAAAGTCCAGTGTCTTCCACCGAAACAGGTCAGAGGTGCTATGCTATGTTTTGTTGCTCTTTGTCTTTATCGAGAAGACAGGTTAATGTTGTCAGCATCTGTGTGCTCACCATGGAGTTCCCAGGGGCAGAGATGCGTGTGTGCGCATGTGTGTGGGAGTGTGTGCATACAGGTAATGCTGTGTGCACTTTAAAATCGCAGACGGTTAGACACGGATCCGAAGGGACACATGCGTCCCTGTTCACAGCGGCATCATCTACAATAGCCAAACTGTGGCAGCAGCCCAGGTGTCCACCGACTAATGCGTGGATGAAGATGTGGTGTATACACAATGGAATGTTGCTCAGCCATAGAAATGAATGAGATCTTGTCATTTGCAACAACATGGATGGAGCTGGAGAGTATGATGCTAAGTGAAATAAGGCAGTCAGAGAAAGATAAATACCATATAATTTCACTCATATGTGGAACAAGCAAAGGAAAAACAGAGAAACAAACCAAGAAACAGACTCTTGACTCTAGAGAACACACTGCTGGTCACCAGAGGGGAGGGGGGTGGGGGGATGGGGGGCTAGGTGATGGGGCTGAGGAGGGCACTTGTGATGAGCACCGGCTGTTGATGGAAGTGATGAATCGCTGTATTGCACATCGAAACATATATGACACTGTACGTTAACTGTACTGGAATTAAAATAAAATTACACACACACACACACACACACACACACACATTGTTCTTCGATGCTCGAATAGGGTTTGTTTTCTTGAGACTTCTCCCCGACAAGAACACACGGGCTCTGGCAGGGACGGTGAAGGAGGCGGGTGTACGAAACATTTCTAAGTTAGGGATTTTCTCAGGCTTTCCATTGTTAGTCTTAGTCATTTTAACCGTAGATACTTGTCTAGTGTGTACAGGGCCTGTAGTTTCTTTTGTCAGCTTCGATAAAGACTTAAATTCTTTGAGCAATAGGGTCCTTTGACCCATTTATTCTGGTGCTCGCTTCGGCAGCACATATACTAAAATTGGAATGACCCATTTATTCTGCAAAACGTCTCCCGATGCCGTGATGCATATGCCGTGCACAGAGGTGCACATTCCTCAGGTTCAAGCGGTGTCCCCTCCCCCAGGCCACCAGGCTGGCAGGGGGACATCTGGGTGGGGACCGGGCGGCGAGCCCTGCAGCCCCCTGCCGGTCGCTGCTGGACAGAGTGGGGGGCCCCCGCTCGTTGCTGGCCCCTGGAGTCCCCCCTTGTGTCTTCAGAGTCTGAGACTTGATGACCACAGAACAGGCGATCCTCTGAGATCCAAATTCTCAGACGCCCCTCATTTTCTGTGTTTAGGGTGAGGAGGTGCAGACGATCGGTCAGATCGAACTGTGCTTCACCAAAGAGCTGCGGCTACGGAACTGCACGGAGCCGGGGGAGCCCGGGGGGCCCGGGGGGGCCGGGGGCCCGGGGCTGGAGGTCTGCGAGGACGGCCCGGCCTTCTACCCGCCGCCACAGCAGACAGCTCCCTGACGCCCACAGGCCACGGGCATGTTTTGAAGAGCTGGAGAGATGCACAAAGCACTGCCTGTCAGAAAGCGGCTGCCAAGTGGAACGTTGCGTCTGCAAGCGTCTCTGCTGCAAGGCTGTTCGGTTTTGCGTTTCCCTTCACGCCCGTGTGCTGACGCTGTACCTGTAAATCTGGGCTGAATATGGGTGCAGCGGGAGAAAGGAAGCCTCCCACGCCTCGGTAGAGGCTTTGTGGTTGGAATAAAGGATACAGATTTTCTTTCCTTCTCCCTTACTACGCTCTTTGGCGCCCTGGGCTCGGCAGGCCCCTTGGAGGTGGGCACACGGTGGGGATTCAGAGCGGCTCGCCTGCCCCTCCAAGCAGGTGGCCTTCTTGGCGTGGGGGTCGCGCGGGGCCTGTTCTCAGGCCGGGATCAGGCCAGCGGCGGGTGGGCGTCTCACCTCCTAGCTCGGAACGTGTTCACCGCGTCCCCTTGGTAGCCTGGCGCAGGCAGGGGAGATGCTCCAGGGGGCTGCAGGGGACCTGCCAGCCAGCATCCCCACCCAGTCAGGGGCTGCACAACCTCAGCCCAGACCCTGTTTGGGTTCCTTTCTGAGAGGAGGTAGCCCAGCCGCAGCCTGGTGGGGCCGCTGATGAATCAGGATGCAAAGCGCCCAGTGACACAGTGTAGCCCTGGGGGGGGGGGGAGCGCCCCCTCCCTGTCCCCGGAGACTGCGCCCTTCCCTTTGTGCAGGACGACGCGGCTCCCCCCGCCGACGGACAGGCTCTCCCCCTGCTGCAATGAGGCTTCGTCTGCGAAGTGAGGACACCTGATGGTCTGTGAGATGGAAACCCTCGGAACGTGACTCCCCCTTGGTCTCTGCCCTTCCGAGACGTGTTTGGCTGTGGGGGGTAAAATACGACCCACCTATTTGTTTTAATCTGGTTGATACTGTCCTAGTTCTTTTATTTATCAAACACTTGAAATAAAATTGACTCTGTGTACTTCAGAACACTAACTTACTTAATCCTAAGAACAGCCATATTTTCAAAATAACCCTGTCTCTAACAAAAAACCTACTGAATTGAAGGGCTATAAAAAGGTCATGCTGTGAGGAATAACTGATGTTTCCTTTCACGTTTTAGGGTTAGTGTTAGTGAACAGGTAGGCATGACTGATTCCAATAGCAAGCAAGAAGATTTTTTAAAAGATGCTGGATTTCTCATCAGAGCAAGTCCTAATTTTATTTCCCCACAGCGTAAATCTCTGTATTTTCCCAGGGCTGCCGTAACAAAGGACCACAAACTGAGTGGCTTAAAACAACAGAAATTTATTCCTTTATGGTTCTGGAGGCCAGACCTCTGAGACCAAGGCGTGGGCAGGGCTGCGCTCGCTCTGAACACTTGCAGGGGGGACCCTTCTTTGTCTCTTCCAGCTCCTGGCAATCCCCCACAGGTGGAGGCTTCATTTCAGCCCCTGCCTCTGCCCTCCTGTGGCTTCTCCCCATGTGCCTGTCTGTGTCAGATCTCCCTCTCCTTTCTCTTGGAACGACACCAGTCATACTGGACTAGAGCCACCCTAACAACCTCATTTTGACTTGATTACATCTGTAAAGACCCTATTTCCAAATAAGGTCATATTCACCAGTCATGGGGATTAGAACCCACAACACGGACCACAGACAAGACCTGACTGGCTGCTGGCCTCTGTATTCTGTACAGTAGGGCTGACGCGCTGTGATGCTGTTACCCCAAGGAGGAGCCCATTGGAAAATTATCCTCCTACAAAAACGAGGAACCTGGGAATTGTTGGAGAGGAGATCTCTGAAGGCTCTCAACACGCTTTAAAACCCACGCAGTAAAGATGGCTTACTTGATCAGGGCTGAAGAGATTTTTTAAGCAAGATTGAGGTTATCCTTTGTAACACGTACCTTTCTGGTAATGCACAGACTACAGTGAGGAAACATTTAACAGGTTCTCAGCAGGTCCGATCAGGATGTGAATAGTTACAGCCCAACTGGAACTTGAAGTAGGTGCCCTGTTGGGGGCCAAGGGCAGGCTGTCCCCAGATAGGTCACTTTGGCATAAAGATTATTTTGAGTTATGAAGGAATCAAAACCCAAATTTGGAAAAGCTCCTTGCCTCCCCTTCAAGAACATCCAAAAAAAAAAAGAATTTGGTAGGGGCCCTGCTCCCGGAAGAGAGCTGTCTGCCTATGAACCAGGGCTGGGAGACCGGGGGGAGGGCCAGCGCCCTGCTTGATCAGAGTCTCCTAGGCCCAGTGGGTCTTTGTGGCCCAGCAAACATTTGTTTACCAAACATGTGCTCATTTTCCTCTTCCTGTGAATTGCATTTCTTCCTGGAAGTCCCAGACCCCTGCCCCCTTCTTACTTCAGAATGACACATACACCTCATTTTGCTGGTCTCTGGAATTTCTAGGTCTGGGTGGACTTCCCGTGTGTACACTATTAAATCTGATTTTCTCCTGTTAATCTGTCTCATGGCAACTTGATTCTTAGTTCAGCTAGAAGGACCTTTGAAGGGGACAGGAATTCTTACTCCTGGACAGCTGACAGATGCATAAATAAACTTCTGGGAGAGAGAGAAGGGCACAAACAGCCAGGCCCTGGCCAACAGGAGATTAGAGAGGACATGATAGTTGAGAAGGGCCAGGAAGGTTAGTTCTATGGAGAACGTTTGCTAGGATATGTCTCAGCGGATCATTCCGGATCAATTTCTCCTGGCATACCCAGTAGGTCCTTTCAGTTATGTACATCCATATCTTTTATCTCTGGAATGTCTTCAAGGGTTATAATTTTATTTTTTTAATTTTATTTATTTTTTGAGAGAGAGAGCGCGCCCTCGCGGGGGAGGCAGGAGGGGCCGAGGGACAGAGAGAATCTTAACCAGGCTCCACGCCCAGTGTGGGGCCAGCCGTGGGGCTCAGTCTCAGAACCCTGAGATCATGACCTGAGCTCAAATCAGGAGTCAGATGCTTAACCAACTGAGCCACCCAGACGCCCCTGTAAATTTTATTTTTTTAAAGATTTATTTATTTATTTTAGAGAAAGAAAGCCTGTGCATGAGTTGGGGGGAGGGGCAAAGGGAGAGAATCTCAAGCACACTCCCCGCTGAGCCTGACATGGGGCTGGATCTCACAATGCTGAGATGATGACCTGAGCTGAAATCAAGAGTTGGACGGTCGTAACCGACAGAATGGGAGAAGATATTTGCAAATGACAGATCAGATAAAGGGCTAGTATCCAAAATCTGTAAAGAACTCATCAAACTCAACACCCAAAGAACAAAGAATCCAATCAAGAAATGGGCAGAAGACATGAACAGACATTTTTCCAA